AGCGTGTTGAGAAAAGTTACTTTATTTCTCCTTCTACTATATTGTGTGGATAGGGGCATACAAAAAGAACGTTTAAGGTCTGATTCCTGTGTTCTCCCTTACGATAATTTTTAAACAACTTTTCAACACTTTATCCTGATGCATTTGTTGCTCTGAATTGAATTATACGAACCTTGATTCTGTAGTAGATGGCAGCCTTTAATTATTTCAAAGAAATTCATGTAAAGGGACATTGCTTTGATGGGCTCTCAATGTACAATAAATTTTCACGAAACACAGGCGATAAGCAATTGGAAAGATGAAGTGGAAAGTTCAAGCTTTGCATGAAAATGCTCCAAGTAATTGAAGGCTGAGCTTGCAGCAAAACAGGGCAGCGGTGGGAGATTTTCACCGTCCTTGTGAGATGTCCTCTGGCATCGTTTGCATGGGCACTGACCGGACATGCATGCCTGGTCTTAGTTCATGCGTTTCCAGGTCTTGGCGCGTTTTCTGGTGTTGCGTTTTATGGCTCCTTGGGCACTAAAAATGATTGATGCTGCAAATGATTGCAATTTTCTATCAGTTCTATCACATGAAAGTATCTGATTTACTAAGTAGTCGATAACGGAAAATCTACAGGCACTAGTGTTGGGTTATATCTTTTGCTGTGTATAATCAAGTTCTTAGAGCTCTGTCAGGAAATGCCTGTTTTTGGTCATGCAGGTTTTTTTCTTTAATAGTTGTAGACAATGAAAAATGTGATCAGATTACAGACTGCTATAGCTGTACAGCAAATACAAACAACTGTCAATGGTGCACTGACCAGTGTATCTCAATGCATAACAACTGCACAGAGGAACAGGTAAAGTCTCTCTAATACTTCTGTAGTTTAAATTTAGCCTTCGAAAGATCAAATGTCCAGATGCCTTTGTCTGTCAGCATTGTGACCCCTGTTGTACTGTTATTTGGGTAGCTCTGAGCTGCTGACATGCTTGAATTTTCTTTTTCCAAGTTGATCCAAGGGCTTTTTGTGGGACTCTTCACCTAAGTTAGGAGGATGGCTAAGGGCAGGGGAAGAGGTGGTGGGATTATTGAGTAAGGCAGGTAGCCATTTGGGTTTGCTATCAATAGAGCCTTCCCTAGAAAAAAAAACAACCAAACAAACAACTGACCCTTTTGTAGAAGCTCTAGTAAGAAAAATGTGTCAGATGGTGGCCTGGGGGAATATCCTGAACACACAGGCGGTGTCCAGTGTCACAGCTTTGGAATATAGAAATTGCTTTGTAGGGCTGAACTGTGAAGTTTAGTGTGGTAGTCGTTATGGCTGTTATAAACAGACATTGGTTGGATGGAAAAAAGCCTCATCTGTGCTATTTATTTTAGGTTCCTGTTACTCTATATGACAATTGTCCTAAGGATAACCCTGCCTATTATTGTAACAAAAAGACAAGTTGCAAAAGCTGTGCCATGGATCAAAACTGTCAGTGGGAACCTAGGAATCAGGAGTGCATTGCTTTACCAGGTAGGTATTGGTTGTATTTGTGTAAGAAAAACAAACAAACAAACAAATAAAAAAAAAAAAGGCAAAAAAATCCCAAAGCATCAAAACCGCAAATTCACCCAGTCCAAAAGTTGCTTTTTTTTTTAACCCCGTTGTCTGTGATCTTTTATTGCTAAGCTGCAGTAAATAACATTGCTTAATCATACCAGCTTTCATATGAAACTTTTATTTCCAGTAAATTCAGAAAGTCTGATGGAATATTTTTCAGTCCTGATTGTCTGAAGAGGAGTATCATCATTTGTATAATTATTAGGCTGTATTTCATCTCTCTCTTTTTATTTGATAAAGCAGTACTGTTGATATAATAGGTTTCTGCAAGATATTAGATTTAATAATGCATGCTATTTAATTTTTGAAACTGAAATTGTGCAAAAGCGTAATGACACATACTGGACGAATTAGGCAAATAACACCCAAAGTGTGTAAGGAAAATTCTCTTATTAGAGTGTTTCATAGAAGTTGATTATTAGTCCCCCTGTAGTAACGTGGGTTTTTTTTTTCCTAGTGACTGAGATAGAAACATAGCATTTTCAGTAACTGAAATGTGCAGTTAATAAAATATAGAGAAAGGGAAAAAACCAACACAGAAGCTTTGAATGGGCATGGAAAGCCCTTCCTCTAGTCACTCCGATAGGTCTGGATGTGTCCAGGTCAGGTGTTGACTAGTCTGGAAGAGTGAAAAACATGAAAAGACTTTAGAGAAGAGCCATGAGAGTGAGAAAAACATCTTCTAATGAGACAGATAAAAAGCTTGGTCTGTATAATTAGTTGTAGAGAAGAAGGGGGTGACTTGATCATATGTGTAAAAAGCCCATCTGAAAAACTGACACTTGAGAGCTTTTCAATCTGTTAGCTAAATCTAAAGCAAGACATTGGAGCGAGGCAGCAGCTCTACAGAAGTTTACACTGAAAACGTCTATCAGTTGTTTTTGAAAGGGTAGTTATGAGTGGGGGAAATAATTACAGCCAAGTATAAGGAGTTCTTCAGTGGTGGGCATGGCTCTGCTCAAGGTGAAACAGAGATTAATCCTGGAAGATTAGCACAACAACTGTCTTCTGTCGAAAGGTATCCTAACAACCGCGGCTGAGTAAGTGGCTTTAAGCCATCAGCAAGATACTCATTTGCTTTCCCTTACTCTTTCTTCCACAATGATTTTACTATTCAATGTAGTTCTTTGACGACCTACTGCAGGTAACTAAGTGATAACGTCACACTTCAGCTCCCCTAAACAGCTTTCCTTTTCCTCCGGTATTGTTATCTGTAAATATGTATAAGTCCTGCTGGTTTGGGATGAGACTGTGTTTTATTTTAATAGAAGAGCTTTTTTGATTACTTTGAACATTGCG